CTGTGGGCCGTGTTTGCCCTGCCGCTGGGAGGCCGAGCAGCCGGGCCCCGAGCCTGGGGGGCCCCAGGCCCGTTTCGGGCATGGCCTCACCTGGTGGATCAGAGAGGGGGTGCTGGGGGGGGGCCTTGAGCACCGGCCGCCGTGGGTGATGCCGCAGCAGCGGCAGGCTCACGTGCTGGGCCCGGCTTCCTGCCCTGCCGTCCAGGCCCAGGAGTAGGGCTGGCGCGATGCGGCCGCAGCCCAGCAGCACTGGCCCTGGAGGAGGCAGGGAGGGTCCCCCTCGGGAGCTCAACATGGGGTGCAGCCTGCCCACCCCTGGGGGTAGCACAGGGACCCTGAGTCAGAATCCCCGGCCTCTGGAACTCTGAGAGGACGCATCTCTGTTGTCCCAGCCCCAGGTCTGTGACACCTGGTCCCGGCCACCGGGAAACAATGTGCCCTCCCCCTCCCCTGTAAGCCCACACTGTGGCCGGGACACCGGGGCCCCGCCCCTGGCTCAGGTGCATTTCCTACGCCCCTGGGCAGAAGCTGGGGCCCTCCTGAACCTCTGCCCCCACCAGGAGCCGGGACCTGGCCTGCGCTGGGCCCCGCCCCTCCTCCTCTGCCCTGCCCCGCCTTCCCAGTGGCCCCAGTGCCCCCAGTGCCCTTGCCTTCGCGGCTGGCTGACCTGAGCCACCTTGCCTCGCACTGGCTGACCCAGGTGCTCCCAGCCCAGCGTCTCCCCCCTCTGTCTGATCCCTGTGGTGTCTGCCCCCACCAGGCTGGCTCGGAGCCCCCAGGGGGGCCCTGTCTTACCCCGTCGGGGCTGGAAGCCCTGCCCACAACATGCCTCGGGGTGTGGGGGGGCTCAGGTGGGGCTGAGCGGCCTCCGGAGGCAGGTCCCCACCTGTGCTGGCCGCGGCCCAGAGCGGGCACGTCGGCCTGCGGAGCACGCTCGCACAGGGCCCGGGCATCCCGCTGCCCCCGAGGGAGGGAGGGGCCGTGGGCTTCCGGGGGCAGAACATTCCTGGGGAGATAGGAGCCTGCCGCCTCCTGCCCGGGGAGGAGGTTCCCCGTGTTGGCACCGTCTGATATGCTGGAAGCTTCCAGCACCCCTCTCCCAGACCCTGGACCCCCCCTTCCTTTAGCCGGGCACAGGGGCGTGAGGGGCGGCCCGCCCTTCCCTGGGAGGTGGGCCTCGGAAGTGGGCCTCGGAAAGCTCAGGGCCCTCGGCGAAGCCCCAGCAGGAGGCCAGTGCCCCCCCCCCCCACCGTGCCTGCAGCTCGGACGTGTCCGCCTCCAGGGGCCGTGGGTGCCGCCCCCGAGAGTTGGTCCCCTCGGCCCCCCCCTGACCCCCCAGGAGATGCCGGAGCAGCCCTGGCCCGTCCGGGTGTCCCCCAGCTGCAGGCTGGAGGCGCTCCCGGCTTCCTCCGCGGGCAGAGCCTTGTAGATCCGGGAGGGCAGGTGGGGGTGGGGTCACTGTCCCCCCAGGCCTGGCTAGCCAAGGCCCAGCCACGCCCCTGCCCACCAGGCTAGGGGACCTCCCTTCGGGCGGTCTCAGCCGCCTCCTTCCGGTGAACCTTCCCTGCGCTCAGGGTTCCTCTTCCTCACGGCAGGTGGGGGCCCCTGGCCGCGCCCCCGGCCCACCCTCACCTCTACCTACAGACGCATGCCCAGGGAGGGCTGCAGCATGTCCCAGGGGACGCAGGACAGATGAGCTGTGTCCCCTTCCCCAGCCTGGACGCTGCAGGGCCCCCCCCTGCACCCACAGAGGGGCGCCGTGCAGTCCCCTGCTCCTGTCTCAGACCCGAGGTCCCTGTCCACCCCGGCCCAGCGCAAAGCTGACCCCTTTCAAGAGAGCGAGTCAGTGGCATTTAGAACGTCCACTATGCTGTGCGACTGCCGCCTTCCAGAACCTTCTCATCCCCCAGAACAGCTTCCCCGGTTCCCCCTTCCTTCCTCTCTCACCCCTGCCCCCACCCCGGCCCTGGCAGCCCCGGGCCATGCCCTGTCTCTGTGCGTTTGCCCGTCCCGGACATTTCCGTCTGGGGCGTCACGGCGTGGCCTCCCCTGCCTGCCCGGCTCCTCTCTCTGGGGTTCCTGCACCCGCATGGTGTCACGGCTCCGAGGCTCCTGGCAGCCGCCCCGCCTGCCCCCGTGCGGGTGGCCTGGGCTGCTTTCTCCGCCTGTCCACCGTGGGGCGCTGGGGTTGTGCCGCTGTGGCGGCTCTGAAGGCCTACGGCCTGGCGTCCGCTGGAGCCTGACCGCAGCTCTGGGCGGGGCCTGAGGGGGCCCTGCCGGGTGGTGCGGGGGTTTCGTGTTTGCCGGGCCGAGGGAGGCGTCACTGCCCGCTGTTAGAGTGGACAGGGCTGGGGGCCGGCCTCCCCTGGCCGCCCACCAGCCCGGCCTCGGCGCTGGGTGGCCTGTGCTGCCACCTGCAGCAGGGTCCCCAGGGAGTGGCTCGGGGAGGGGTGGGGGCCAGCCTTTGAGCATCAGCGCCTGCACCCCAGGGTCACAGGGGCGGGAGGCCCTTCCCTGCCGCAGAACGTGGTCCCTCCAGAAAACGGGGACAGTGCCACCTTAGACGTGCTGCGCGCCCGCAGGTGGGGGCGCTCCCGGGCGGGCAGCAAGAGAGGCCGAGGCTCCGGGCGCCTGTCCCGTGAGCACGTGCCGACTCTTCCCCAGCAGACGGGCGGCCGCAGCTCCGGGCGGGGACGGCCCACAGGCCAGGGCTGGCTCGGTGGTGTCCCTGGGGCCGGGGTCAGAGAGCCTGCTGGAATGTGGCTCTGGGATGTCCACACGGGCCTCTCTGATGACCTGATGGATGGTTCTGGAAGCAGCCCACCAGCGGGGCGCCCACTGCCTGTCGGTCTGGGCTGGTGGTCCAACTTCCCACAGGCAGCGCTGCGGCTCCGGACCCCGCGGGCCTGGGTGTGGGAGGGGGAGGCTGGGGCTTCAGGGAGAAGCTGCTGCTGGTCTCTGCTTCCGGTCCCTTCCCCACGAGGACTCAGCCCCAGCTCGGCCTGGGGACTCCAGTGCCCACCTGGCCGCTGGGCTGTGGCAGCCCCTCCCCGAGCCTGGCCAGGTGGGAGTCACGGACCCATCCCCGGCAGGGCTGCCGACCACCCGAGGGTGCCCACAGAACCCCCAGCGGCCCCCACCCACTCAGAGCGAGTACTGTTTATTTGCACGGGGGTGCAGTTCAGCGGATTTGGGGTGCATGGTAGGTTCCCTCCTGCCCGGTCTCTCAGGCACTGAGGGCTCCCACGGGCACCTGTGCTGACAGATTCCTTCAGGGGACCCCTGGGCGGCCACAGCGTGGGAGGCCTGGTGCTCGATGTCCTGTCGGAGTTACCACCACCGACACAAAGTTAAGGATCTCTGCCCCCCAGGCTGATGCCTGGGGGGGCGCCGTGCAGTCTTCAGCCGTTGTGGGTGCTGGGCAACGACCAGGTGGCCTCCAGAGGGGGCGTGCTGGGGAGGGAGGGCACAGGTGACGAGGCTCTGGCCGCCACCCCTCCCCCCGCTCCCACTGAGCAGGTGACTTAGAACCTGAAGTGCCAGGGTCACGTCCTTATTCTGGGCTGCCGTAGCCTGGGGAGTGGTCCGAGGGGGGCTGCTCGTCCCGCCCCTCCTGCCTCTCCCCCGGATGCCCGACGTGAGTGGCTGGCTCAGCCCGAGGGCCCGGCACCCCCGCCCAGGGCAGCACAGTCTGGCTGCTGGCGGACGCAGGGGCTGAGCGGCTGGAGCAGGGCAGGCCCAGCCGGAGCACGGAGGGGCCTGTCTGGGGGGCCTGACTGTGCTGGCCAGCCTCCCGGGTGAGCTGGGAGAGCACTCACTTGGTCTGAGGCCCACCCCCCACGGCCTGCAGAGGGGCCCCCACGCCGGGAAGGGCCAGCAGCTCCGGGTGTGCCTCACGCCGACCACTCCGGACCCCCAGGTGCTGTCTCCCCAGGCCAGGCCCTGCAGGGAAACCCCGGGCCTCGCCCCCTGGGCTGGGCCAGCCTCTGCCTGACCCCATGTAGCTTGCTAGGAATCCCCAGGAAATTCCCGACGGGGGCCTTGGCAGGCCGGGCTGAGGTCCGCGTTCCAGAGGTCCCGAGGGGCTTCCGGCCGCCACTGTTCCCGTGGGACCGTGGCCACCCCGCACCCTGAGCCTGCCTCGGGGTCTCCTAGGGACCCTCCCCGGGAAGGACAGGGTGAGCGCCGACACCGTTCCGGGGTCTAGGGCTTGCCCCTGGGTGGGCCAGCTGAGGCTGCCGGCCCCGAGGGGCTGCTCCGTGTGGTGGGCAGGCCCTCTGACTTCCTGCACCCACCTGGGGGCTGTGCCGGCACCTGGCTGTCCCCAGCCTGCTGCGTGTTGGGGTCCTGTTTGCTCTGCAGCTGCTCCAGGTCCCGTTCCCCACGACGCCAGGGAGACTGGCCTTTGGCTCCCGGGGTCCCGGAAGACGGGAGGCCCTGGAGCCCCCTCGGACCTGGGTGGGCAGCCCGGACAGGGCTGGGGGACGGCAGAGGTGCCTGGTCGTCCCATCACCCCACGCGTGCGCCAGGCCACCGAGGAGGCGAGGCAGGGCCCTGTCCCTCCCCGTGGGCAGCCTGAGCCCCGCAGGCCCTGGGTCTGGGGTCCGGTGTGGTGGGGCAGTGATGCCCCGGCCCCGAGGGGAGGCGCCACATTCCAGCATGGACACCGGGGCAGGACGAAGGCCAGGGGTGCTGGGGTCTGGGCTCTCCCCGCCTGCTCCGTCCTCAGTGCGGGGCCCAGGGGCGAGGTCGCTGCGAGGGTGGCTGTGGCCTCCTCCTGGTCCCAGCACAGGGAGGCCCGGGGTCTCTGGCCAGCCGAGCGGACAGCCGGAATGCACACGCCCACGGGTGTTCTGGTCCCTGGGTCCCGGCCACCGGCCCCAGGTGCAACCGGTCTCCGCCCGACAGTGTCCGAGTGTGGCTGGCGCAGGGTCTGCGGCTGTGGGGTGGCTGTGGCTGGTTGGTCACCCCGTGGTGTTCACCGCTTCTCCCCCTCGCAGACGTGAACGAGTGTGCCGCTGGCAACGGGGGCTGCGAGGGCCACTGCTGCAACACCGTGGGGGGCTTCTATTGCCGCTGCCCCCCGGGCCGCCAGCTGCACGGAGACGGCAAGACCTGCGGAGGTAGGCCGGCCATTGCCCCGCCCCGCACAGCCACTGCCCTGCCTCCACAGCCACTGCCCTGCCTCCCACAGCCACTGCCCCGCCCCCACAGCCACTGCCCCACCCCCCACAGCCACTGCCCCGCCCCCCACAGCTATTGCCCCGCCCCCACTGCCACTGCCCCGCCCCCCACAGCTATTGCCCCGCCCCCACAGCCACTGCCCCACCTCCCACAGCCACTGCCCCGCCCCCCACAGCTATTGCCCTGCCCCCACAGCCACTGCCCCGCCCCCACAGCCATTGCCCCGGCCCCCCCAGCCACTGCCTGGCCGCAGCTTCCCTGCCTGGCTGTGGCTGAAGGCCGCCTCCTACCCGCCCCTGGGCTCCTCCAAGGGGGTCTGCGTGGGGTCCTGGGTGGTGCCCAGTCCTCAGGGTCCTCCCAGCCCGAGTCACCTCCCACACCTTTAGGGGTCCATGTGTCTCCTGAAATGAGGTGGGGGACTCGGATACGAGTCCGATATGGGCGGGGCGCCCTCTGGGCTGTGCAGGGGGGGTGGCCACTCTGCCCGGGGCTGGGGGGGTGCACGTAGAAAGACTTGCCGGGTGGGGGGGGCAGGTGGCCAAGCACAGGGCCTGCGAGGGAGGGGGCGGCTGTGAGCTGGGCGTGTGCGAGGGCCCCCAGGGGCGCCTGGCGGGTGTCTGGAAGCACCCATGAGCTCTGGGCACACGCTGGGCCCGGCCCTGCCGCTGCGGGTGGGTGTCAGCCAAATCAAGAGCAGACAGAAAATCCCAGAGAGAAGAGAGGAAAGGGAGGGAGGGCGGGAGGCACGGATTAGGACTGAGGTGGGAGGAAGGCGGGGCGGCTGAGATGGGGACACCCCTTCCCTGCCGCAGCCCCTGCCTGGCACCCGGCTGTCCCGCCGCTCCTGGGCGCGTCTGGCAGTCGCTGTCCTCCCCCCGCCCCCTCCAGCCTCCTTTCCCAGAAGGGACTGTCTGCAGCTGTGCAGCTCCAGCTGTCAGCCGTTTGTCTGTCGGAGGGCGGGCGGGGCACCGCCTGCTGGACCGGGGTCCGGGAGCTGGGGTCCCCTTGGCCGGGGTGTCTGGGAAGCATGGCTCAGGTGCCTGAGGTCTCTGTCGTGGCCAGTGGCAGGGGAGGGGTGGGGGGGGGTGCAGGCGCAGCGGGGGGGGGGGGGCCTCCGCAACCCCGTGCTCAGGCCCCAGCACATGGGGACCTTGTGTCTGCGGGGGACGCGGGAGCCAGGGCTCGGTGACAGCGGCGGTGGCTCCACGTCACCCGCCCGAGCTGCGGCTTTGGCCTTGACCTCCTGTCTGCACGCTGAGCCGGCTGGGACGCAGGGCCCGCTGAGGCCTGTCCCCTGTCCCTAGGGCAGGGGAGGTGGTGGAGGGGAGGAGCACCCCTCCTTAGAGCCCGGGTAAGGAGGGGCGCCCCTGCTGCCAGAACCCCCCAAACCAGTGCCTTCTAAAGTGGGGGAACCACGCTGGTGTAGGCAATGAACTGAGGGGCCTAGGCCATGCCAGGCCCAGGGCAGGCTCCTCGAGAGTGTCAGACACCCCTCCCCTTGGCCCAGGGTGCCCACAGGTGGGGCAGGGTGGCCCGTAGCACGAGCCGCCCCCTCTGAGGTCTCCTGGGCACCGACACACTGGAGGTGCCCTCAGAGGACCCTAGTCCATGTCCCGTCGGCCGCAGGCCCACTGCCCGGCCTCGCGGGCCCGCCTCAGGCTTCCCATGCCCCGCCCCTCTCGTTCCTCGGCCCCCGTGCCCTGCTCAGACCTGTGGGTGCGCACCCCCACCCCGTCGGTGTCCGGGGCCCCTGGGTCTCCCATGGGGACTTATGCCAGGCCTTGGGGGGCTGTGCTGTGCTATGCTGCTCCAGGGGGTCCTCCCCACTTGGGTTCTGGGCTCCCGGTGCTGGCCAGCCACGCGTCTGCAGGTCCTGGACGGTGAGTCCGCAGCTTGGCCACCAGCCCCGGTGGGCAAATTGGCCTGGACTGCGTCTCTTCAGGAGGCGTCGGACCCCCTTAGCCCGGAAGAGCCCTGAGGACAGGAGAGGCGGCCACTCTCCAGCAGAGCTGGCCGAGGGCGGGCTGCAGATGAGCCGGCCGGGCCGGGGGCCAGGCGGGAGGCAGTGGCCTCAGCCCAGCACGCCGCTGCGAGGGCCCTGCCCTGCCCCGGCCTCGGCCCCGGGGAGCTAGCTGACCCGGCGCTGCGTGTTTGGGATGGCTGGGGCCCGAGTCACCGCGTGGCGAGAGGGCTCTGCTGGGAGCCAAGCGCCTGCTGTGTGTACTCTGTCTCCCTGCAAGCCCAGCCTCCCCTGGACCGCGTGGGGCTCACGGGGCGGCCGCCGGCCGTGTACGAGCAGGGCCAACCGGAAGTCAAGATGTGGCCTCGAGGAAAGACGGCTCCCTCGCTCGCTCACTCGCTGGCTGGCTCCGTGGGGAGGCCGGTGCACCGGGTTGACGTGGGGTGAGCCCAGACCCCGCTCAGAGGGCTGAATCGACGCCGTGCGGCCCCAGTGCTGGCCCGGGGGCGCCTTGGCCCCCGCTCCGGGCGCCGTGCCAGCCCGGTGCGAGCGTCGTGTTCTGGACGACGATCCTGGAGCAGGAGCTGTGCGCTCCCTTGGCCGGGCGGCCGGGGGCTGGACGAGGCTTCTCTCCCCAGGAGGCCCCGAGGCAGGCTCCGGCCTGCGGCTCACCGTGGGCGGGCGGCGGGCCCTGGGGAGACCAGGGGGCTCCCCCACAAAGCGCATTCTGGCTGCCCCGCTGGGGAAGCCGCCCCCGGGCCAGACTGTGGCATCACTGAGCCCCTTGCATGAGTAACTCTGAACCTCGTTCTCGTCATCCGGAAGACAGAATGAGGAACAGTCTTGCCCCTTAGGGCCCTGGGTGGGGGGGGGGGACTCCAGGGAAGAGCCTTGGGTCCCGTGGCCCAGCGCCCGCTGCAGGCTCCCAGCCCCCAGCCGGCTTCGGGGGGGCATGGGGTGGACAGAGGGGCTGCCTCAGCCTGACCCACCCCCCCGCCTCGGCCTTGGGACACTCTCTTCTCCTGACCAAGGTCCTCAGGGACCAGGCCCCGGGGTGGGGGGGCCACATCCAGGCCCGGGGGGCACAGGGGTGGGGGTCCAGGGCCCTAGCCAGGCCCAGGAAGGGAGCTGTACATCAGGCTGAGGGACCCTGGCAGGTCCCCACACCGCCCCAGGGTCCCCTCACTCCCTCACCCCACGCCGTCTCTCCACGCTGGCAGGGGCGGGCCGCTGGCCTGTGAGCGCCCGTCTGCGAGTTGGCTGACGTCCGTACCCGGGCCGGACAGTGTGGCCCTCGGACGGTGTTGCCATCGGGGTGGTGGGGAGCTTCAGCCCCCCCTCCCCCCCAGGGAGGCGGCAGTGCTGCCGTCTGGTCTGGAGAAAGTCCGGGCGTCCCTTTCCGTGCCTTCCCACGCTGGGGGTGGAATTCGGCCCGAGACCCTGCCGAGCCCTCCCGCCAGGAGATAAGCAGGGGCCTGGGAAAGCCAGCGGCGCAGGGGGGGCTGCCAGGCGGGGGCTGCGTGGGGAGGGGCTTCCGCCCGGTGAGGTCCTCAGCCCGTCATGAAAACAGCCCTCTTCCCTGGGGGGCTCGGCAGCCCCCTCTCCCCGGGCTCCTCCTTGGCTGCAGAGGTGTCCGGGTCAGGAGGGGGTCTTCACCGGGGTGTCTGCGCAGGCCGTGGGGGTCGAGGCCTTGAGACAGCCGCGGGGTCCTGGGCCCTCAGCCCCGCGGGCCCGGCTTTGCCGCCTGCTCCAAGCAGGAGGGGCTGTGTTCCCCCCCCCGTCCCCCCAGTCCGGGGGCGCCTCCCTCCCCAGGAGCGACGGAGACCTTGTGTGAGACACTGAGGCTGAGGCACGTGTGTTCAGGTCGCCCCGGCCCGGGAAGCCACGCCCCCGCCCCCATCGGCCCTGGCTGACGGGGGCTACGGCCTGGTCTGTCCGCCTGTCTGGGAAGCAGCTGGGGGACTGACAAAGGCTCCTGTCACACCCCCGGCCTGGCTGGGAGGAGGCAGCCGCCGGGGCCTCTGGGTCCCCAGGGGGAAGCAGGAACGTGGGAAGTGACAGGCCGTGATAAGGCCGCCTCGGGCTCCGGCTGGGTCGGGAGGGCCGAGAGCTGACCCGGGCCAGCTGTGCTGTCCCGTGCTGCCGGGCTGGCTGGGAGGGGGTGAGGGAAGCCGCCAGGGGCCCTCGAGTGGTCCCCCGCTTCCCCTCTGACCAAGGCTGGCGAGGTGGCCCGGCAGACTCGTGGAGCCTCTGGAGGCCCCGCCCCCGCCCCCTTCCCCAGAAGGTCCTGGCGGGGCTCCTCAGGGGCCGTCCTCCCGCGCCTTCCAGGCAGGACGGCGGTTTCCAACGAGGCGTCTGCGGCGGGGCCTCCCCGGTCAGAGGTGCCGAGAGTGAAAAGCTTTCGTTTCCTGCCTCTGGCCGCATTCACTGCCTAGCGAGCAGCGTCTGGCAGGTACACGTTCCGTGAGGGCCAAGGCAGGAACCGTGATAGCCTTCAACGTCAGCGGTCAGAGCCAGCGGCGACAGAGAGACAGACGGCCACCCCACAGGCCTGCCCTGACCCCCGAGACCAGGCGCTGGGCCAGCTCCCAGGAGGGGACCCCAACGCGGGCATCTGCGGGCGTCGGGACCCCGGGTGCCCATGGGCAGCTGTGGGGCCTGGGGCTCCAGGCGGACGACCCGTGGGTGACCCAGCGGGACCGGGCGTGTGGCGGAGGACACCCTGTCTCGGGCTCTCCCGGCGGGGGGGGGCGCGTGTGTAAGTGGAGGCGCTCGCCCAGTTTCCGCCTGGCCCGGCCGAGGGCACGGCACGCGGGAATGGCAGCCGGGCTCTGGGAAGGACCGTGGTTTCAATTTTCCCTCCTTCGACGTGGGGAGGGGCGGAGGTGGGCAACAGGAGTACCGCGAGGCCGGGACGCCTGGGCTCCACGGGGGCGGGCGGACGGTGACTGACCCCAGCTCAAAAGCAGCCCTGCTCTG